ATTGCACCAAATTAAAATTCTAGCACATTACATTATTTGTACATTAGTTTATGAAATTATGAAAGTTTTCTTATTTGTTATTTGTTTTATTTCAGACGTATTATCTGATGCAACCAAAGTACTCAGCGCCGCCACCACACCAAGATCACCGTCAAAGCATTTAGCTGATAATTTAGCTTTCGTAAATGTTGATAAGCCGACCATAACGAGTGGTGCCATGGAATTAGTTGATAGGACTATTGAAAAAAGTATCGACGTCATCGATCAAATTAAAAAAGAAAAACTTGCTGTTAAGATGGAGGAAATGCAGAGATCAACATCCACCGACACTTTTTACACTGAATCTAGAGTAGAAACATCTACTTCATCTTCTTCAGTACATAAAACTGTGGAAGGATCCCAATTAGTGTTTCAAAACATCGATCCAAAGACAGTTATGACTGACATGATAAAAAAGTTCGGTACTACTACTAGTGAGTTTAGTACTGTTTTATCACACAAGGAAACCGAAGTGAAAAAAATATCTGGGCAAGAATTTTTTTCTGAAACAAAGCAGGTTTCTTCTTCTGACGACGATTCACTAATTATAAAAACGCAAACTAGTCATGAACTAAGAGGACAAGAGCACGAAATAAAGGAAAAAACTATAATTCGAAGAGATGGAGAACAGACAGAAACATCGCAAAAGAAAATGGAAAGAGCTCACGAAGCAACTGCGAAAAGATCTGATACTGAAACAAAAACGGTTTTTAAAAGTACGGATGATACGGATATAGTGAAAGTAGAGAGGGAATTTTCAGAGCAAGGCTTGTATAGTGGAAGGCAAACCAAGTCGGAAGAGCGTATGACCGCACTTAAAGATGAAACGGTTAAGAAAAAACATGAGGTAAAAATATCAGAACGAGATTTATCGCATGAGCAATGGGGAAAAGAATATTTTACTCAACCAGGTGAACTGGAGGATATACATGAGGTTGATGACACAAAAACTAAAGTAGCATTTGTAGATTCGGCTCTAAAGATAGTAGAGAAAGATGAAGTCGTATCAAGCGTTGAGGTATCAGAGAAGGGTAAAGTAGTGAGTTCGAAAGTAGAACATCACAAAGAAGAATCTATTATAGAGAGCAAAGAACATGACGATTTAAGTTCTGATGCCTCACATGCACCTAGTTTTAAAAGTGAAACTGCAGAAAGACGTGGCTCCACAGAAGGAAGTCCTAAAAGTAAATCAAAGTCTTTCAAAAAAGACGATGAAACTTACGAAGTAAATTTTATCAAGGAAATACGAGTGTCAACTTCTCCAGTTAAAAGCACTTTTAGTCGAACTGGGAGTCAAGATACCCATTCAGAATCAGAAATAGCTCCCGAATTGCCCCATGATGCAGATACGCCTAAAAAAGAAAAAGTTTCTAAATCACCAGTGAAAATGTCCCAAAATCAAATAGAAGAACAAGTGTTATCTATTCAAAAATCAGAAACTGGGGATATTGAAATTGGATCTTCTAAATCTACCGTAATTAAGTCAGTAGAAACTACAATAACTAGTGATAGCGATACCGTGTTTGAATTAAAAATATTGGGTGAAGCTAAAATGGACAATGCTACTCCAAAAGCAACTAAAATTGATACTGTATCACCAGGGGCCGTAGAGATCTCAGAAGAACAGAGTACTTCGAAGGATATTATGCTTAAATCTGCAGACAGCGTAGATACTGAATGCATGATTAAATCTTTAGAATCACATGAAGGTGAAATCTTACAAAAATCTATGGATTCAACTGTTAGTGCTGAAACCTTACATCCATCTGACTTTTCGACAGAAGCAGACTCAGCGTTTCTTACAGGAACGGGAACTGATCATAAAAAAGACGAATTAAAACTAACCAAGGAAAAAAGTATGGAAGATATTTGTAGCAGTGGCTACGATACAGACCTCTCTTCTGCTGAATTTCAAGCAGCAAAACATGATAAAGAGAAGATTGATCTAGATACAATTATATCAAATCAACCATTAACTGATTTGTCTGTTTTAGAAAAAACTATTGATGAAGTAAAACAGTCACTTGAAGCCGCCCAAGTGGAAATTATAAGCGAAAAAAGTGATGGTAGTATAAAATATAAACAATCGCCATCAGAATTTCAATTTAAAATATTATTAAGTCCTGATCGACCTGAAGTTATAACAGAGGAACCTCAACATAGTGACGATATAGCAGCTAAAATAGTAATAAGAGAAAGTGAAGAAATATCCGAAAGCATATCACATAAATTAAGTTCTCATGAAGAATTTAGTTTGTCAGATACTGAAATGAAAGAAACTATTGTCATGAAGGAACTAAGCCCGCCATTAGACGCCGATGTTTCTATTAAATCAGATAGTGGGCCTCATTCTATTTTAGAAACTGAAAGTGAAATCATGTCTGATAGAGAGTTGTCATCTAAGGGAAGTCCGGAAGTTAAGCTGCGAGTCCAAAAGCATATGAAATCGAAACTAGGTATCACTGAAAGGCGTTCAGCTTCAGACATTGAAGGGTGGTCAAGTTCTGGAGAAAGTCACTATCAAAGTTTCGAACATTCAGAAAGTAGACCTTTGTCGTCTGATATTGAAGTTATGATGACAGCACAAAGTGGAACTGAGTTTGAAACAGCTTTAACAAGTCACGATATCTCATCTCAATCTCTTAGAACTTCGAAAGACTATTACACGGCATGCAGTTCTCTTGCGTCAAGGGACAGTGTGAAAAGTTTAGATTCGGATGCTTCCAGCCATGTAGCAAGCATCGATATATCTGATGCATCAGAAACTTTAGTTCCTTCGGCAAACGAATTAAAAGAAGAATTAATGGAAAGTAGTACATATGTAGAACAATTTCTCCATGAAACTGAAAAGGATCTGACAAAAAAAGTAAGTGAAGAGGATGATGACCAGATCGGTGATGAAGATAATTATAAGGAAGATGCAGAAGAACCAATTGGCAGAATGAAAAGATCACACGAAATGAGATTTCAACCGAAAGATATGATACCAGAACATTTTCCTTTAGAAACCACTTCCGAAAGTACAGAATTTGATGAGGACTCCTTAAAAGATAAAGAAGGTTCAGATACCACTATATCAAGTCAATTGAAGACAGACGAAATTTTATCATCTTCAATTTCCAAGTTAGACATGTCATCATCACAATCACAACTAGACTTAGATAAAGAAGAAGTCCAAGAAACTATAAGTAGAACTTCGTCACGTTCTGACCATGCAGTTCCATTTTCTGTAACAAAAATTGAAAGAACACAAAGGCAGTTTGTTGATATTGATAGTGAAATAATTCCAGTTGGGTCTGCTGAATATCAACAAATAGAACAGTTCGGGTGTATTATGAAAGACTCTACAACAAAGACTTCCAAAGGAACTACTGTAGAAAAAACCGTTGTTCTAAGTGATTTAAGTTCTACTCCAAATATTGACGTTTCAACATCCTCCATAATCGAAGTTAAAGAAGAATTTGTTAAAAAATCGGTGCAAGATATTAGTGCTATACCGTTTTCACTAACTGAAAAGCCCCCAAGTATACGAGAATTTGCCGATGTTGAAGATGACATAATACCTGTTGGTTCCAAACAATATGAGGAAATATTAAAGTCAAAAAGTGACTCATCAGTTCCAAAAACAAAAGCAGAAAAATCTATTTTACCGGATGATGATAGATTAGAGAGCAAACAAAGTTCGGCTTCTAGTTTGAAGACTCAAGAATATATTTCAACACCACATACCCCATTATCAGCGCCCAGTCAAAGCTCTATTTCCACTGACAATGGGCGTGAATACATATTAGATGATATTTATGATATATCTGAAGCACCAGAACTTAAATCTGATGTAGTTACTGAAAGCAGCAAATCTGAACTTGTGGTCACAACAGACGATAGAACGTTGCAACATTATGAAAAAGAACAAGACTCACCTACGAGTGATGAATTTGAAATGGTTGATAAACCAAGTGAAATGGATGACTTTGTGGTAATTGAAGAAGTTGCCAAAGAAGCTCAGGAAACTGATCCAGAGGGTAAAAGCTTACTAATTAAGACGCAGAAATACGTCGTACGACATGATACTGAGGTTGAGGACTATCTGTCAAAAACTTCTAAAAAGCAAGAAAGTACCAGCAGTACCTCCGGGTCCTCTGATGATGACATGCAATATGAAATGGAACAAAGTAGATTACAAGCTCAGGAGTTAGCAGAAATTGAAGCTGGTAAACGCTGGATACAGATGCAGTTTGAAGGAGATCCACGTTACGATTATGAAAGGATTCCTTTAGAGGATATTAAAGAAGAAGAAATGACAGATTTCGATGCTAGTCGTATTGGAAGTTTAAGTTCCCAAAAAGAATCAATAGGCAGTTATGGTAGTTTTAGAAATTCCTACGGAAGTTTATCTGAATCGGAAATGGCCTCGCGTATGAGATTTAGGATAAAAGGAGAAAATGATGATATATCAATTAGCTCTCTCCAAGAGTTTGAAAACCTAGAAAGGGCTTTAATGGAACAATATCAACAAAACTCCTCATCTTCTCAAGATTCATTAAATGGTTCTTTACCCCGTCGGTATATTTTAAGTAAAAATCAAGGCGAAGAAATAGAAATTTCTAGTCTAAAAGAATTTGAAGGACTTGAATCAGCTTGCCTAGAAGCCCTTAAAGCAGAACTACTTGCTAAGCAAAAGGAAGCTCTTCTCATGGCGGACCCTAAAGTTGTAAGTGGTAGTTTCTTAGAACAAGAAAAACGTTCTTATGACAGTAGTTCAGATAGCAGTCCACCTTTAAAAAGTGGTAGTCCAGGCCCGAAATCTGGGAGTCCAAGTCAAAAGAATGGAAGCCCATCACAGAAAGGTGGAAGTCCATCTCAAAGGGTTGGAAGTTATGGCAGCCCCTCACAGAAATTATTAGCAGATTCGGCGGCTATAAAAAAAATTAATTGATCAACAACTAGCTTTAGAGCAGCGTATGCAAGAGTCGCGACCAAAAATAGTAACTGTTAAGAAGTACGACGACAAAGGAGCGTTCTTTGTTCCTGTTCCAGACCCTGAAATTTCAGAACCCAAAGCAACGGAAGTTATTGAAGAATGTGCGAAGAAATCTTCTTTCGTCTGTGCAGCAGCACCAAGTGATGGTTCTGCTGAATCCATTCCTGGTGATTGCGAAGAAATGATGAAAATTTTAGATCAAGAAGAAAAGTCAAAAGAAAAAATATCTAACACATTACACGAAGGAGGCGTGATTGAAGTTGTGAGGACGACGACTGTCATTCAGCAGCGCTTCGTGGATGGAAAGAAAGTTTCAGAAAGTGTAACCGCTACAGAAAGTGAGGGTGTTGATATTCCAACCAGAACATACCATGAAGAATGCGGCATGTCTCTTAGTTCTGAAATGTCTTCATCTTTAGCGTCACAACCTTCGGAAATGGATAGTTTAATGACGGTGTTAGACCGGCAGCACAGTGAAACGGAAATAGTATACTCCCGACATAGTGTGACTGTATCAGCAGAGAGGCCAGAAGATTTAGATATCTCTAGAGAAAGTAGCGCAATACGTGAGCTATCACCCTCATCCGGGAGGTCGGTAGCTCACAGTATTGTGTCTGGTAAACACTTTACAGATCCAGCCAGCGGCTCTTGGAGTGTTCAAGACGAAGAGTTAAGTTCTTCTGGAAGTTTTAGTCGGTGAGTTATATTGATTTTTCATTTTATTTTCTACAGTAACAACAGGTTTGCTTCTATTTATAATTATCTTTCAGAGCCCGTGCAGACTTGATGCTTGGAAGTACAGATAGTTTGGAAGCAACAAGCTCAAACGCAACTCGAGCTACATACAACTATGAAGTTGATACTCCGATGACAGGGAGCCTTACATCTGGAGGTACGTGTAAATCCTACCATTCAGTACAACTCACTTTTTTGGTGTACATAAAACATTTTGTTACAATCTTCTATCTTCCATATGTATTATATGCAGAAACTAACTATATATCTTTGCACTTATAAATATTAGAGATCTCTCACCTTCAAACGTCTGCTCTATTTCCAGAATAGCTTATTCATAGCTTAAGAAAATATCAATCATGTCATACAATATCTTATTTCATTGCTATACATTAATTTGCGGAAAATAAAACCCCGTAACGAGGATAAAATTATAAAAACCATGATTTAGGTATTTTATTGTTTTAGCTATAGTTTAGTAGCCGCTTTAGTTTTTATGCGACAATGTAGCTGTTTGTTGACATGGCGTTTAATTCTTTATGCTTAGTGCGAATTTAAAAAAGAATATAGTTCTTAACGCCAAAAATATCTAAATTTGTAAAACAGTCAGAGCTCGGTTTAAGGATTTTACCACTTTTTTATGTCGTCTCAAATAATAATAAACGTCGAATTATATTTTATTTCGTGATTATTAGTCTATGCGCAATGTCATGAAAAATCTTTAATTTAAGGCTGTTAGGCCTCATATACCTACTGCTGAGGAAAATCGAATACGGGGTTTTTGTTTCTAATGAATCGCTAAAGCTAACCTCTATGTACTATCGCTATGAAGCTTTTACTAATCAGAAAGATAACAGCGCTACCACCTCCAGGATCGAACACCATGGTATCTTCCCTTGATACCCTGGACCCTGTCACCGCGGTTCAAATGGAAAGCCTCGAACACCAATCGACTAGTGAGCAGTACTCACACTTTGAGGTCCATGAACCGGATTCAGATACTGAGAGATTGGTGAGTGAAATTAAGAATCTTGCTTTTGTCCCTAGTGTTTTTTCCAATCTTCCCGGCAACTTTCGTTCCGGATATCTAAATATAACTAAACTGTTAGACTTATCCTCCATTATCGGGTGTAAAGACTGTGTGTAACTTTTCCATTTTACCATTTCACTCAGCATTTACTGTGCAATATTTTTATTACATTGCTTTTGAAGACATTATTTTTTTTAAACTCCCGTGTCCCAAATTTCAAGTTTTTATTATTTCTATCGTATTATTCAATTAAGACCAAAAGTAGATATTATATAATGACCGACGACTATTATTATGAATGCAAAACAGAAAACTACACTTTACTATGTTTTATCTGTACCATTTTTGGAAGACAAGTTAAAAAAATTGTTTTCGACGAAACATCTTCAATTCATCCTCTCTCGTACGAAACGATTTCAAATACCGCTGCGTAGCGCAATGTCTTTGTAATATGTTCTTCAAATAAAAGAAAATTTTAGGAACTTGATGGAAGGATCCCAAAAACCAAAGAGAGGACGATAATGTTCGACAGTACGGACACATTAAGTGCCGTTAGCGCTGATAGTTCTGTAAGAGAAGCAGCCGTTGAAGCTCCAGCTGCAACCTTCTATATCGGCGATACACCAATATTGCGAGGTAAGTTAGTAATTTTAAATATCAAAAAACAAGTACGCGGTAATATAAAAAAAAGAAACCTCTAAACATACAAATCGTTCTTTTATTAGAAAATTATAGTTACAACTCGTAGTAATATTTGTTTAATAATATAGGAGAACACCAAGAAGAAGAGGATCAGCCGACAGTTCTTTCTGGCAGCTGTCCTGCGTCATTGCCACCCGCCACTACTTCGACACCTATACCTGCTCAACGAAGGTAATAAATGTCAATATTATGCATTGTGCGGTTTTTACTTGAAAAATAAAAAAAGAATATACTTGACAATTTTGTTATTAATTGAAGATGTTAGCGTCTTCGCTCTCAATGGAATTTAATTTAACCTCATTTCAAAAATCCTCCATAGTCCTTTTTACAATTTTGCAACTGTTGTATGAAGAACTTGTAAATACTTATTGCGACTAGCGTATCGTCAAAATTGTTATGAAAATATATTTAGGACACACTTCATAAAAAGAATTAAGTTTAGCATAAAATTAAACTTACCTTATATATCTTACCAATCACTTAAATCAAAAACAAAGAAATTCAATGATCACAAACCGTATATGTAAATTTATAATGTAATACGCATGTATGCGTACGTGAGAACACGTGTACCCCAAGTATACATTTGCTCATAGATTTTTTTTAATTCAATTCGTTTTATATGAAGTTATTCATTAAGTTAACAGCTAAGCTAAACTACATTTAGTCGGTTAATTATTCTAGCTCTCTAATTTCGATGCTTATTTTTATTTTGTCACACAGCCTGCACACATACACGTCATAGACTTAGAATCAAAACGTTATGAAAAGCGTTTCTCTCTTGTATTTTAGTTATTAGTTTGTTTCTAAATTCAGTTATTAGTTACGTGATAACATGGTACTTGCGTAATTAAAGAGCATGGCGCTTGTTCTGATGTACACGAAGTGGATCCTTCAAATTGTTCTGTAACGGCTAAAAATTTGTTTTTAAATTGGCAGATTAGTTTATTATGGTAGCAAATTACTACCTGGCGTGCTAATACTCGTATGAAGTAATCAATCGACCACTGACTTCCTATCCTATGAAACACACGCACTTTAGGCACACCCATTAAAGGCCTCGAACATGTATTGATAGGTTAAAATAAATGAAATTCAGTGGGTTGTAAGTACATCCGAATAACCTATCTAGTCAAAACAATTCATCACTCATTATTTAGCATTTGGTTCTTTCACCTTTCCGTCTTTTCCTACTAGTGTTCCCCAAAGTAAGCACAGTGCATTTAAGTATTAATCGTTGAAAATATCAACTAAAATGTCATTATAATTCCAGCTGCTATTGTTTAAGTCACCCCCAAGACAAGACTGAAAAATAGGTACACTGTTTTTATTGTATTGCTTGGTTTTTATTTGCTTCATACAGCATGATATTTGCATTAACACGAAGCGTTGGTGTGCTGGGTTTTATTTTTATTTTAACACCCTTTATATAAATACTTATAAATATCTTACCTAAGTGCCTCTATTTACGAGTGCTTATACTTATATTTATAATATATACTTGTAAATTCCCTCATTTAGAAATAGTATATAGACTGTAAGAATATTATGTGTATGGAGTCATCTTTGAGCTTGGGATATAAGAATTTACTAACTCAAGCCAAAGGTCTTCCTCGTAAAAGTAGCATTTATAAGTAAAGCAATATATATGTTTAAACTGAGGTTTGATTACGTTTTCCATTGTTATTTGTGTTGAATTTAATTGTAGAATATATAGAAATTTATTATTCCACAGTAAGAAATATATCAAAGGTTATATTATTTAAACCCTAAAGTTGCCCTTTTTATAGATCCTTGACGATGATCGCAAAGCCGCCACACTCAAGCTTAGAAGAAGAGGCAAAGAAGTAAAGAAAAAGACTACTGTTAATTTTTTTTAATTTTAACATTATTCTAGCCATGAATTGATGAAGCCAATAATAAAGGAATAAAATTATATCGATATACATGCTTAGTTTAGTACCATCGACCAATTACAACATTTCAATATATCCATTTATCCAGCTTTAGACGCAATTCGTATTGAATTTAATAAACATATGGAACGATTAGTTCAAGAGTGATCAATGATAATATCGCTTGAAGTTCAACATGCACTTTGGGCGTAAGTACATATGCTTGAAACAACATAAGTATAATATCTTTGAAACAGTAATAGTATATCATTAAATTTCAAACAACATTTTGTTCCTATATCATTGGCCAGCAAACAAGCTTTAGTATTTTTGATGCAAAGCTTTAGCACTCTTCAAAACATTTCCGTCAACAAGACTATAAATTCAAACTATTGTGGAGTTATTACACCCAAGATTTTGATCCCAATGTAACCGTATTTGTAGTTCATGTATCATTAAACTAGACTAATATTTTGGTACTAACTTTTGTACTGTCGGGTTCCGACTGTCCATACTCGACCTATAACTGAGGTCCTGCAGCGTGCTTAAATAGTTTTAGTAGATTTTTTATCAAATACATTCCCCTAATTCAGAGATTAGACTTAGCGCCAGTTAACTTTTACATGTCTCAACATCCTGTGACCATTTGATACATCGGAGATTGAATCATTAGAATCAAGTATTGTAATGGACTATTACAAAGTAATTCAAATAAAATTAAATCCCATCATCGTTTTTTGAACAAAATTGTATTACAACGTCACCTATCGAAAGTAATATAAATTGATTCCAAAAAATAAAGATTACTCTTGGTAGTAATTCTTTTGGAACAGCTTTCTTTTTCTAGAATTGATGGCATCTTTCTTGAGACTCAATTCGATTTTGATTTAAAAAATTGTGCCTGTGCGTTGACAGGATCCCAGCAGTCTAGTACATGCGTGTGACTTTATCTATTCGCGCGCTGCTTGTCTTTGAAAATAATTTATATCTCTTTACTTTATCAAAGTCACCGGTATGTCCTCGACTAAATAGCATAGATCTGTAGTCTAGTTTTCAAATATCGCTTACCTTTAGAACATATAACATTGTGAGCATTACGTCAGATTTTTATAGACTTTTTGAACAAAAATTCCTACAAAATCTGTCCTATATACAGATTTAAATTGTCGGAATTAAACGATGTCTCGGTATTCTACTAGAAGCTGTTCTTAGTTATTCAACCTTGATAAGAAGCTACTCTGTGCTCCATATAGATATTCATGGTTTACGTCTTAAGTGGAAAATGTCAAATAATTTTTAGATTATAAAATCCATCGACAATCAAAATTGGACTTAAAATACACGAAGAACATACAATTCGACGTTTTTGAAGCAATGTTTATTTCAATATAAAAATTTTGATGCTTACGCAATCTAGTGACAACTTTGTAGTAGAACAAGTTGTAGTAGAACAAGTTTTAGTAGAGAACCTAGATGTCATCAGAATATTTACGTTTCTATTCATGCACAATTTCTCAATAAGTAGTTAGGTAGAGGTACAATTTAGGATAAGGTACGGCCGGCTTTCCGTTATTTTTTGTATCGAATATTTTCTTTTTAAGTGTTTTAGTTTCAAATTTTTATTTTTTAACATTTTTGTAAATAATTTATTTATATGCTGTAATTAAAATTTATTTCTCTATGGCCGTACTCAGAAACGCCAAAGCCCTCACACATTTTACACAGTGCAATCGATGAAACAAAATTTATCGCCTGTGTAGTTTTCACTGAAACTTAAAAATCGCGTTACTGAGTACGGCTTTAAAATAGGTTTAATATTGTTGCCATATTGATAATTGGCCGTTTCGTGGCTTGCTCATTTCCAGTTTTTGTAAGGAATGATCTAAAATTCAGAGACTGAGATCCTGATTGGTAGACTTGCTTCTGCAAGATTTTCATATCTATGTGGTTTAAATTATTGCTGATACACTACAGTCAAGACGATTCTTTTATTAGAAGTTAAAACTATATATATATATATATATAGTTGGACCTTTAGAGAAATAAGGATGGAACCCGAACGGAACCAGAACGATGGAATAGTGGGCATCACAGGGGTCTAAAGTAACGTCTTAGATAATAACTAAAAATAGTTCTTATTTCACAACGGTGACTTTGTTTCTAGTACAAAAAATTACCAAAGAGCTTTCCATCCTAGTTATCTCTACGCTTGAGAAATTTTGAGGCTTTATTACTATGTGCTAAAATTTTAAGTCATATTAAACATGGATTTATATGTTGTTGAAATTGTAAAGTCTTGACTGCAGTTAATGATAGCGGTTTATAGTAAATTACGTTAATGTGTGCTTAAGTCAATGTTAAGTAAGTGGCGTCAAGTGGTGATGCGTCGTATTAAGTTTATCTTATTTGCTACGTTAGATTGTTTTACGTTGTATTTGTAATGCTGAATATTCTATTAAAATATTGGATATTGAATAAAATGCTATGTCTCATATTTCATTTGTTGTTTTATTATACCCGTGTCTGCTTTTTACATTCGAATCAAACAACAATATTGTCTGCATTAAATAAAATGTGAGATTATCGTAATATCTTGTATAGGAAGGATGGCGTACTGTTTCTCTAACCTAAAGAGAGGATCATGGACCTGTCTAACCACTGCCTGGTCAACTCGAAGGCCCCGTGGTTAAGGTCGAGTAGTTCTATATATCCTTAGTGGCCGGAATAACTTCGTTGGCGCTTTTTATGAAGAGAAGAAGAAGACCACAGATTGTAGGTGTAACTTCACGCTTATTTTAATTGTATAAAACGCCTATATAATTGGTTATTCTTTGAACTAGAGCAGCGTTCATATAATGGATTAGCGCGATTCTGAGGTCTTGCGTTCGATGTTATGTGCCCAGAAACTTCTGAGAGAACTGTTATATTTTTGTCACAAAACTGAGGGTTTCAGGAGCAGTTTCAAAGAAACAGTACCTCTTGTTTGTTACTCCCAAAAACGATTGTGATCCTGACTTCATTCACGTTTTTACTGGACGAACCTTATCTTTTTAAAACAGTGCTTTGGATATTGAGATAACTACATGAAAGATAATCTCTATTTCGTATAGTTTATGTAATCGTAAACCAACGCCAAAAATGGTTGTAGCGTCAGAGGATTATAACATCGTTGAAACTGAAATGAACGCTTCGCTTATTTTAAATGTAAGGGTAATAAAATAAAATGGACATTTTAAATCAAGAATATATTTAACAAACATTAAGAATAAAGAGTTATTAATAAGAAATAAATAATCTTAAACCTAGCAACATAACTAATAAGGATAATTTGTATTTACATAATGATGTATGTTTTGTTGTGTAAGTTATTTCAAAGTTTGAATAGTGTTCATCTTCAATTATAAAAATCACGTTTAATTCGTTTACAATGTCTATGCATTGGCACATTTTGTTGCACAATTTATTTACCTATAACGAAAACTCTTCAAATAAAAGATCATTCTAGATCTCTTCTTCAAAACGTTTTCATTCTTACATCTAACCATGCTTAAATATATTATGGCATTATATTTTGTTTGCAAAAAGGTACAATGTTTAATGTGCGTCTAATATTTTGCTAAGAGTATTCCAGAAGATAGTATTTACATTGAATAAATTATTACATTAGCTTTGGTAGGAAAGTCTCGTTCTACCACTGATGCTTTTGAAATAATTTACTAGTTTCAAGTTCTTCAAAGGGAATCGAACTCCGATACGTCACTGGTCTGTAAAAAATATTAAATAAAATTAATCAGCTGTTTGACGTTTTTATGGGTATGGGGCAGATAAATATGATTATATTTCTAGGACTAGGCAAGTAGATGATTGTCCTTTTGCACCAACTCAAGATAATTATTATTTCGCTGGAAAAGAACTTAAGATCTGTACGTGAGACATTCATCGCACCATAGAGGTGACATAAACCTTCAGTTTTTACTACAACTACACCTCCTTATCGTAACATATGGCAGATTAGATCTTCCGATTCCAAATTTATTTGAATTTTATTTTATAAGAGGTTGCCTGGAGGAGATCTCGAAAGCGATAAGGCCTCTTAACGAAGTATTAAATAAAGCTTATATATAAAGAGTGCCACTACAATACGATGATTATCAGTTGTCTATTTGAATTCCAGGGTTCCATATATTAGTATTTTAAAGAGTTACGCGTGCAGTTACCCACAGGGTCAGGTTTATAGAGGTGAACGTGCGGCAGGAGGAAGGTGGATCCCAGATCTCTTTCAGCCATCGTGTGTGCTTCCTGGATAGTAAGGAAGGTAGTGCTATAAACATCTAACTACTAGTCTACGGATTTATTAAAAAGTACTAAGCAATGGCGACTCGATCCAAAATAATGTAAAATTGTAATAAATGTTGTCCTGAGTTGCCATTAATTTGTATCGAACTATAGTATTCCTTATTCATAAATCAGGCCTGTCCCTTTTTGTCATACCGTAAACACAATTTGACAGAAGGAGATGAAAGACTACTTTCGCGTACGTACTTTTATAGAGAATAGAAGATAAAGTTATATTATAAATGGATTAAGTTTTTAAGATTTAAAGACTGCGAAATTACAGGTGCTACGGTCATGCTAAGAATAAAAACAGTTAATAATCAAAATACTTTTTATCTACGGTGTTCTTAGAATTGATTTCCAAATCAAATCTAGTATAAAAACATGATACACTAAAAAAGATAATACCTGATGTGTCAGTCGAGTTGAAGACGCCGCCCGCCCAGTACTCGCGGGTAATGTCCCGCCCACCGAGCGAGCTTCAGATAGGGTCCTATAAAATTCGTTCACATAAAATTAATAATAAACTAGAAATAATGAATAAGCTTTGCCTAGTTCTCTTTTGTAAAACCGTGTTTTCATGTAATACTTTTATATAAATAACATAGGTTATGTTATAAA